TATATTCTGAAGTATACTCCAAAATTTGGAGAAACACAGCAAGCACATAGGCACAAACTAAGACTTTTCACTTTTCAGTTTTTAATTACAATTAGTACAAAAGCTAATACTTGAAGAAACCCAATGTCTAAAACCAAAATGGGAATAATTAAAGGTATGGTTGAAATGATCTGAGATGCAGTAGTTCACAAGTTAAAAGGAGTCAGTAATGTGGTAAGGTTGCAGAACAGACAAGTTCAATCTAAGATACAAGTACAGGAGCACTGGGAATTTAAATGCAACACTATTACTCTACTAGTTTGAAGATTTTACCACTGTTCAAGTACAATATCAAAATTTTGAACAGTGATGAGAAACCATAGTAATTGGGTTTATTTGGCTTAGAAATGAATCCCCCCGAAAGAAATTGTCTAGGAGTCTCCAGTTGCAACTCCTTAAACATTGCAAGAATTCTAAAGGGAATGGTGCTTAGCTGTTGTACATGTCTGTTAAACTTAGGACAAAAAGTAACCAGTTCAATGTGTAGGAAGGGAGACAGAAATTTTAGAAAATTTATTTTAAAATGTCATGTACTGCCAACCACAGGAAAACATTATTTTAGAGAGGTGATTGACTTTTTTTTTTTCTTTCTTTTGAAAGTGGAGATTCTTAATAAACTAAATCTTAGACAAACATCTGTCAAGGATTACCCAGATAGACTCTATTTTATTTGAGGGTAAAGAAATAGACTCTCCAAGTTTTCCAAAGGACTACTCCAGCCCTGTACTTCTATGGTCCTACTTCTACTAATCCTGGTGTAAGCTACTTTTGGCAGAAGCAATTTAGGAAGTAATTCACAGGCAGAGGATTTACCCATACCTTCCTCTTACTTAGGGATTTCGGGTCAAAATTTTAACAAGGACTCACATTTTCCCTGGAACATACTGGTGACTGCTCTAATTATTCTTTGACAAGTTGCTAATGATGTGATGCTGAAATGATATTCTCATGGCTTGGTATCTTTATGATCATGACAACAATAAATACTTACAGAGGTATCAAGTCAATTTCACTAAATATTTGTGCATGTTTTAAAATTCACCCTTGTTGAGGAAAGCACTTAACAGTGTGCATACACATAATTAGTGACCAAAGAATTACATCTGTTTATAGTCTGGGATGCAATTATGGCACACTTAAGAGAACATTCTGTGTATATTCCATCACAGCATCACAACAATAAAGAAAAGTGTTCTGACTATGAACATGGAGACGAATGACAAGCTGAGTGATAAAATTTATCTCAATGGGATGCCTTCAGCAGTTACCCTTTCTTATTTAATTTTTAAAATTTTAATTTCTAGTAAAAATCATATATTGTATCTAATGTCAGTGAAATGTCTCTCTGGTTCTCATATCTCCAAAGTACATTTACAACATTTCAACTTTTATTTTGCTAGAAGCCCTAAAGTTTTGTTACAACTGTCCCCAGTGTATTATGGCACGTAGAGAAAATATACTGTTGGATATTTCTGAGTGACTTCAGCAGAAAGTGCTTCTTTTACTTCAGGAGAGTGACTTCAGCAACTCATACACTGTCTTCGAGTGCTATGTTCCCATAGCTTATCCTATTGTATTCTATAATTTTTTAAAACGGAAAAGAAATAGCTGCTAAAAATGTTAAGAAAAATTACACAAAACGATGGGGAAGTAATAAAACTTACTTGACTACAGCTATAAATCAAAGCACACAAGTAAGAATCGAAGAAAGTAAGCATGAAAGAACAGTCAGGATCAGAGAGAGACTGCGCACAGACAAAAAGTTATTAAATTGAAAACATGGAGATGAGCTATGAAGGAAGTCTGATACCCAGACTAATGTAAAACACAGTCTGAAAATATCTTAAAAACCAGTCAAGCTAAAAGCAGCACAAATATAAAGCAGACAACTAATGAACATCTTATCTCAATATTCACCTTGAACTTGATGGTTACAAGTTTGGTATGTGGAGTGTGTGAAATTTTTAACTTAAGAATACCAAGTTCTTCCTGCTGGGTAAGTGCTCTCTCTACTCATTGTTCATTAAGATTGCTTGAAAAGTGTCCAAGAAACAGCACCCCCATTTTAGATGATATACAGGATATCTATCAAATCCAAAGCTTCTTTGTAAAGAAAAGACAATGGAGAAACCAACAAGAACATCACTACTGAAAAAAAAAAGCCTTCAACTAGCTTATTTCTAGCAGTTGCTTATTAAGAGCCTGATCCAATTTTTGTTAATGATAACAAATTTTTTGTGACTTTGCAATGGGAGATGAAAGCAGAGCTGAGGTTTTCTGTTGAAGCCAAGATGCACACAGATAATAACAAACACCATCAAAACAAAACAATCCTTTGAGCAATGTTGAACCGATCCCCCCACCAGTTACCACATTTCAAACTGTACATATTCTGTGCAGTATTCCTTTTCTTTTGCTTTGTTTTCTTTGAACTGCTTTGAAAACAAGTTGTAATTAGAGGTGGTAATACACCTGCACGTACCTCTACACTTGCAGATAACACAGCCATGACTGTTCTGCTGGAAGCCCATCGGACAGATTTTACTACAAGGCAGGTCTGGGCATTTCTTACACCGACAGATTTCACAGCCATGCTTGTTCTTCCTAGATGAACAAAGTAATTTGTAAAAGGTCAGCAAGACACCTTAAATATCTACATGTCATGATCTTTAAAGCAAAAGCATCGCTTAGAAAAGTGCCTGATAATTAAAGAAAATTAAAGAAAAAAAGAGTGTTTTACCTTACTTATGTACAGAAAACACATATAGAAATCTGTAATTTTCCTCTGTACATCAGTATACTAAATGCGTGATACTACAGACTAAAAATTACTGCTCTTTACAAGATGTGGTGTAAGAGGCTGAACGCTCCTTTCTTTATTCTTTATTTTTTTAAAAATGCTTTCTATTTATAGATAAACTGTGTGCTCAGTGCTAGCCTGTGGAGAAGTCCTGACCTGTGTGATGTTTTCACCAACCTCCCACAACTCCCCTAAAGGGGATACAGTGCAATGGGGCAGGCAGGATGTCTGAGGCTGGGAGTGCCTGGGCAAGTTATTAAATGGTCCAGATGTGATACTTGGTGAGTCAGTGTCAGATCTGATACCCTGTGAGTCCATGTCTGATCAAAGTGTCATTCTTTCATATTAAGGTGTCATTCTATCATATCTACCTATCATTCAAATGAATACTTGCAAACTGCAAGATTCAATATTTATGCTTTTTAAACCTTAATTTGATTAACAGTAAATGACTTTGCTAAATATAGTTCAGAATAATCCTTATCGGCTGAAGAAAAACATTTTTAACAATTCAGTGTGACATCTACATTGCGACTGCCAGGGAAGAAAATCAGTAGAATTAAATTGAAAGAAACCAAAAGGAGAAACAAACTTGATTGCTTTAGACACCACAGAAAAGTCAAAGAATAAAGTGGAGTCAAAGAATGGAAAGAAAACACATAGAATTTGTTTTAAGAATATATTCAAGGTATGTCAGTGTTAAGTCCAAAATCACAATGACAAAAGACGTTAAATAGATCTTATTCAATGTTTTTCTCAGATTATAACTTTTGAATAGACTAAAGCAAGTGGCCTTGAAAATAACAATATATTTATGCACTCATAATATTAAAATTAAGAAAGCTTTTCCTGTTCAAACAGAACAATAATCACACTAAGTAAACAGTAAAAACTTCTGTAGTTCATACCAGCTGTCTCTGCTATTATGCAAACATATTCACATCCTTGAGCATATGGATGAAAGCTGTCTTCTCAAATTCTGTCCTCATAGCTTTAAGTTATTGACCTTGATACAGGCAATATATTAAGAGCTATGATATGGAAGCAGTATTAACTCCAAAATCTAACAGCCTTAGTGTACTCTTTAAATATCACATCCGATTAATCTGCTGATATATCAGTTTATAAAACAATTTTAATAGACATTAATTTTTAAAACACAAATACAAAACAGAAATAAAAACATATGTTCACATATACAGTCTGGAGACTACCGAACTGAACTAGCTACTGAAGACGCACGATATGTTGTGGAAAAAAAAATTGGATTCCACCTTTGTTGCAAATAGCAATTAAATATATTCTGATGGCTATTTTTCAGACTTTTTTATCTTTTCTTTGACAAAGTTCAAAATCAAATTTAAGCTAGCACAAAGGATTTCAGAGCCCCTTGTGAAACAGTTACACCATAAGAGGACTACATGGAGTTTTCAAGTAAATTCTTGAATACAGTTGTAAGTTGTATTCCTTTATTGCTGTTGTTTTATTCCAGCCACCCTTCCTGAAGATTCCATTGTGGAGTTCCCTCAGTTTCAGACACCTCAACACCATTTGCCTGTTTGTCTCACAACTTTAAGACACCTGTATTTTGTGACTGTTCACTGTCATGGCTCAAACTTCACTCTCCCTGGATGTTTTTAAACAATTCTGCATGCTTTCTACTTGTTTTAATTGACTTCACTCCTTTGGTACCTAATGTAAGCAATATTATTCTATCCAAAAAATGTTGGAGGTGAGAAAGACCACGAGGAAATGGAGACAGCATATGCTCTGTGGAAGAATCAAGGAAAAGATGAGATTTCATTTGAGGACTGGAAGAATAACCCTGTCAACAACACAGCCTGTGACAATACCAATATTTAAGGACTTTGTTGTGGTAGCTTTGTTAAAATCATAAAACCTATTAGTAGGTTGTCTCTCCCATTTTTCATCATGGACTTGAAGCCTAGCAGGCAGAGAGACAGTGTTCCATTGGTCAGTGTACCAGGTGGTACTGACCAATCATGTTTTCCCCAGTTATCTCCTCCCTTGTCCCTGCCTCCTAATGTTTATTCATTTACCCTCATCCAACCAATGTTAGCGGATTTGCATGCTCCGCCCCATCTCCACCCTCCTTCCAGACCCTTCTCTACCTAGCCCTATAAAACCCACCATTTTGTGTTAATAAAGTTGGATCAGCCCTTGGCTGTGAAGGTGTTCAGATGTGTGTTGTGTGTCTCTTCTTGGGCTGCATCACAGCTTGAACCTAACCTTCCAGCTTCCACTGCTAGCTTTCACCGAACATCTACAAGCTAGCCACAAGAACCCCTGACGCTGGTCTGCTCCTTTCCCTTTTTCAAAACTGCGTCAAAAAACTGAGACAGCTAACCAGACATTATTTCTGCTCAGTCTTTTGTGTTTCTTTTGTTCTGCTACCCATTTCAGCCATCCTTGCCTTTGAAGCCACTGGGTAAAACCTCTGGGAAGACAAAACTGACACTGCTTTTCTGTAACTTTCCTCCTGCTCTCCTTTCTGTCACTTGAGAAACTGAAAATAACTCAGCTACTCTTGAAGTCAACATGCCTGAAGATAATTTTATTAACCCTTTAAAATTCTTGCTGTTCCTCTCTCATCTACTACTAAGCGTGCTAAGAGAAAGACACACTACATGAAAGATTGCAATTATAAAAATCTGCTGCAATTATGAACAAGGGTCAAACAGAACTCTGAAATGAATCAGAAATTAAAGGAGTACTAGCATGACACTAGGAGCTGCAAATATAGTAAACTTCATTAAAAATCCTAAAGAAATAAATTGCATATGAACATTATCTGAAGATCTGCTATCATGAGGTACAAATTAAACTATTATGAAAAGCAGGTAGTAACATGGAATAGACCCATGAAAAATATATTGGTAAAGTATATATAGAAGCTATCAGACTAACTACTAAGAAATTTCTGTGACAAAAGATCTGCTCCATTTTCATTACCTATTTCACAGTCTAATGAATACCACAAATACCTACTTTTATGGAGAAAGAACTCTACCACAAATACAGGTTTTGAACACATTTACAAAAATGTAGATAAGAGGTAGCATTGTTCTTCACAAATTCTGTAAAGTAATTATCAGAAATGTCTCACTAAAATTAGTCTGCTGTCATATCAACATTAAAAGAAACTTGAAATATTAGATAATAATTTGAATAAAATAAATGGGCTATAAAATGAAAAGCTATCAAAGCATTCAAACAATTTCAAAAAGCTGTGTGCAAGAGACATTACTTGTAAGTATCTTTCTCATCTTGTTTGTCAAAGTCTTCAAAAAAAATTAAGCAGTTCTTTGCTTTTACAGTCTGCTGCTGTTCTTTGGGTTGCTGTTACTTAATATGTTGATCAAAATCCATTTTGAAGAATACTGTATTCTCACATCAAGTAACAACATATCTATTTTCCTGCATTTCCCCCTGCATTGCCACAAAGTAAACACAAGTACAGGTGCCTGGATTTTTGCATATTTTCAGTATGGACAGGGATTGAATTAAATACACTTTCAGAATGAGAATACGTACAAGTATCCAAAGGGACAGTACTTGTCACATACAATGGGTTTGCACTTCTTAGGCCGTGGTCGGCACTGACAGATCTCACAGTTGTGGATGTCAGTCTGGAAGCCGAAGGAACAGTCCAAGGAACAGCCCGAAATGAGGCCGGTGCACAGCTCCTCCCCTGCGAAGGATACATACAGGTTATCATAACATGAAAACCGTTTATATCAAACACATCTTTAGCAGACTAAATCTTCTGTTCCCTTTTACTTAGTAACTTTTTTAGTACTGGTAAGCCTTACCTTCAGACCCTTCTGTTTTTAAAATATTTAACAGAATTCTCCAGTAATGACCCCAACTGTATGAACAGACACCACAGAATTTCTTCACTTTCTGTCAGGAATTCGGGGGAGTACCACCTGGTACCATAAACTAACATGATTTTATTAATAGATGTACAGCCAATGGAGACCCCTTTAGGGATATGGACATTTAGGGACAGGGTTTTTCTAAAGAGGAGATCAGTATACGTTACTTATTCCATTCCTTACTTCTATGAGTCTGAAATGTAAAGATAATCTTCACATCTCTAACATGGTAATATACTGAAGGAAGCCCACACAAGGAATCTTAGCTTTACTTTAATGCCTTCTCTTTCATTTTTGTAATTTTGCAATTAAGACTGCAAAACAAGGACTTTACCTGACGTGGCTAAGCTAAGTGTTTCCTTATTTATTCTACCAGGTTAATGCTCATTTGTTAAAGTAGGAATGTTTTTTACTGTCTCAGAATGAGACCAAACCTTTGGAGAAAACTGGCAAATTCACTGCCTACTTCTGCAGTGGAATTGGGGTATACAAGTGCAATACAACTTAAGAGCCTCATTATCCCAAACAACAGTTCTCAGTTTAAATAGGATGAATATCATCAGGTTCATGGGTCTCACCTCTCCATTTTTATGCTAATTTGGTGTCTGAAGCAAAAAGGGTGCAACTTTGGGTTTGGCTTTTTTTTTTTTTGCCATTCAGGATACAGAAAAATGCCAGATCGTTCCATAACCCCTAGAGATTGTGTTTGTAAGCAGAGTATCGATGCTGCAAGATTTAAGTATTTACTCTCAGTCAGATCTAACCTTTGTACAGCAATGGTAAGCCTTATATCAGGTTCTCATTTTATTCAGACAGAAGCACATACAAAGATCTTCATGAACTTTCACACATTTTTGAAGGATTAAGTCAGGCTGATTTATCAGAAATACTAGATTTTTTAAAATATGTAGCTACTAATGCTGATTTTAAAACATTATAATGCAGAGAAAACTTTGATATTTTTCTCTGGTAAGGAGAAAAATGTATGTGTAATGCAAAGAATTTCTTCAAAGCAAGTTAAAATAATGAGAATTTCTTTTTCATTTATGAGATTTTATACTAGAATGTTTGTACAGAATTATTGCCTTGCAGCATACAGCAATAATAACTAACTAAACTTTTCATTATGCAAGACTTTATAAGGTAGTCATCATTTTTAAAGCTAGACTTGAACTTTATGAAGAATGTATGGAAAAGTATACTGGAAATCTCCAAAAAGAATCAATTCCAATTGATGGACCTTTGATATAATTTAAGTTATGATATCTTGTGCAGATGCTCAGAACTGATAGGTGAATAATCCTGGAATTGCACAGATGGAATCGATCAGAACCATTAATTTTCTGAAGCATACTTTGTCATGGAGATGAAATGTTTAGGTGGCTGTCCATAAACATCAGGCTCACAAAGACACGCTAAGAAACAAGAAGGTACAGAAGCAAAGGCATAGAAGAAATGAACAGGCATCTTAAAAACATGAAAGGAAGAGCTGGAAATAAAAATTTTTAAAAATATCTAAAAAACCAGAAACAACTAGAACATTTTTTTTTAGTTGCCATATTTCTTTATCATATTTGTCTCCAGGTTATCTGCTCAGGAGAGCTATCAAAGTACAACACTCATGACAACTGCATGCAGTCTCAAACCCAAGTACCATCACAGTTTACACACATACACAGTTTACATCTCCTGCGCAGTCCTAGTCCAGCATTTTAAACCAGGTATTTTTTTGAGAAAATGAAGTGAACAATCAATGTCACAAAGCAGAGTGCAGCTATCGGAGAAGGAAGAAAAAGAGAAAAAGACTGCAAACTTAAATATTCACAAGTGGATCAAATTCAATATACGCAACTGCCGGCCTGAAAATTTTTCTATACCCTTAGCTATAGCTTTAAATTAATCGTTACTAAAATAATCATAAATTCATTATGAAAGCATAAGTAAAAGAAGATTTTCTGCAAAGATTTTGCATTTCAAGTGACAAATATTAAAGAACAAGGAGAACTAGCTCATGAAAGTCAACTGCAATGAACCGAAGAAATTTATTACGGCAAAATGTTAGGGGGTTCCTTGTTTGAGGGTGTTTTCCACCTCTGTTTAGACAAATTTCATGAGCAAACTGAATCCCAAATAAGGGAATGTATTTGCAGAGAAGAGATCCAGCCCTAACTGATCTAATAATTGCTTCAAAAGTGGCAATAAGGGCAATCAGACAGGCTGAAATGGGTGGACAGGAAACATAAGCTAAAGCAGAAGAAAACTACTGTTCAGAGTTTTACAGAAATGCATTATACACTTGCATATCACTGCAACTCCAGCAGAATGGGATCAAGGTTCTGATCACACAGTAGATGTTATTTTTTGTGTTGTGTTTTTTTCTTTTTTTTTTTTTTCTGACCGATTAGTTATAGTGACATCACTTAGGCAGCTAAACTGATGGTTAGATAAAAGATAGAAGACTAAAACAGAAATAAAATTATCAATAGGAAATCAATTAAAGGGAAGATGCCTCTCACTGTGCTGCTTAGGAAAACATGATTTGTAGAAACCGTTAATTTTTCTTATGAAACATGAAATGTTAATGACATAATTTCAATAAAGAAAATAATCCATCTAAACAAGGTAGTAGGAGGGCTTAGGGGGATAAAGTAATATTGGGGTGAAATATAATACTGCAAACATACAAGGTTGTGCCATCCATAGGGAAGAAGCAAGGATTTATGTGACAATCTCAAGAGCTCAGAAGCAGAATACTGGTTGATCTCAGAATGATACTGACATGAGATGACTTTAGAAAAAGATGAATGTGTTCCTGAATGTCTCAGGCTAATAGAACCACATTTTTACAAGAAATACTTAGCTTTTTAATGTGAGGACAGACATTAGCTGAAATACCATATAAACCGCTGAAAGAATTATGTACAGTAGATGGCTAGAGCAATAATCATGGAAAGGTTGTTTGTCCTCAACCAATGACATAATTAAATAGTCTTCTGAGAGGAACTAATACTCTCTCGAGGACAAACAAATACTTATAGCAGTGAACCCAGCCCACACGACACGACCATACAGTTTTCTTTGCCATGTGCAACCACGACTGCAAAAGCAGCAGTAAAGTCAGTTACCAACAAGTCCAGGAGGTAGTTCGGTCTTCACTAGTACTCACTATACTGGCAAAAGCTATTGCTCTCAGACTTTGAGCCCCCTGAAGTCTGTAGTTATAGCAAATACTTTGTTCTGTAGTTCCAACAATTTAACACACTGCATGCTGACTCGAATACAGGAATTTCAAATTATTGGATTAATTTGGATCAATTTAATATAATGCTGCTGGAAAAATATGCAAGCAGGAAGAACAGCTGAGGATGAATTGGTCTTCAAAAAAAAAAAAAAAAAGCCAACCATATTTGTGAATTATTAACATACAGATATTGGCAAAGTTTTTAGGCCTGGTCACCAATGTTCATAAACTCCTTTTAAATATAGTGATTTTTTTCCCCCACTTTCTCCCCCCACTTACAGACACTTTCATACGTGCAGACTATAATAGAACTAATATTAGAGTTTCAGAAGAGCATGACACTGTTTAAGGGGAATCTGTTTGGGACATGGTGGTGGGACAACCCTTTCTGTAGAAGAAAGCCAAGATATGGTGAAGCTCTACACTTGAACTATGTGGTGTTTTAAAACTCTTTTCCACTAAGTATCTTACTGTCAACACTAACATCACCTCTTCTTTTAAAAGGTTGTCTGATATCTATAAAACCAAGTCCCTGGCTGCTGAAGGAAAGAAAAATACGTTAAAAAATCAGCATGTAAGAGCAGCTGATATACTGACATGACCTACTCTAGTCCAGGGCCTAGCCCGCAAACAAGATAACAACAACATTCTGTCCCATCATATGCAATGGCAGCAATCCCTGCATTTGGGATAATTCACTCAACAGTGGAATATTTCCGATACAACACCACCTCTCCTTCACAGGTATAGTATCTCAGAGCAATGTATCTCAAAAGGAATCACAAGTCTTTGGCCTAAATTCAAACCATTGGATGCATAATTTATTCCTGGTTTCAGAGTGCTCACATCCCTACCTCACACCTATGAATAACAGGAGTGTTATAAAATATTGCCCAAAAACCAAGCTGAAAAGTAAAAAAAAAATCAATTCCATGAATCACATGTTTAGCTCTAAAAAATGTCTTCTGTTTGAACTTATAATAGCTTGATTGTAATTCCAGCTTTTATTTAAAAAAAAAGACTTCATTTCTTCTAACATATGTATGGTATATAAAAAATGTTAAGCTCTTAAACTGGGATATTTATGTTTCTCCAATATATTATTTTACATATGGACACACTGATATTTGTACTGCAAAGACTGAAGGTCATCTTACTCTAAAAACTTTTGAAAATGCATTCTATGTTGAAATACTTTTAGGTTTTGGTTGTTTTTTTTTTTTTTTGTCCTCTAATTCATAGATGAAAAAATAACTGCCAGAGAGTATTACTAAATATGTGACAAGTATTTCAACTTGGCTCAGGCTGGTGTCCATTTCTGACAATTTGTAGTGTGGCTACAAAAGCTAGCTACATACCTTTACCAGCATTATTTTCTTGACGCTGAGGCTAGATCATATCAGGAGAACTGTTTCACAGTACCTTTATAATTAAGCACTCCTCAGCCGTCCTCTCGGTGTGGATTGCTACTGCTGGTTTATCTTCGGGGGTGGGGATCTGGGGAGGCAAATTTATGAAGGAGAAAACTAGGTTACTTATCAGTAACTGGAATTCTCTGAATATATTGCCTCC